GGACACTGGTGTTGATCTCTCACCACAACTCTTACCCTATAAAATATTTTTCAGTGACTTTAGAGAAGAACAAACTAGTAGGGCTGTGAGGGGCACAAAACTTCTATTTAAACCTCTTCTTTTTAGAAGAAGCGGTTTTTAAGGTAAAAACAAGGAGAAATGGCCTAGCCCAATGCCCACTGAGACTTAATGGCAGTGCAAGTTTATTCAGCCAATTCCTGAAGAAGATGGGTACTTACATAAAAGTACTTCTAGACCAACACCATGGGGGTGTGATCTTATCCATTTCCCCCTTTGGGAATTCCTGGTGCATGTTTCCTTTGGAAACACTTCCTTCAGGTTTTCATTGTTTATTCACCTGGCTCTACTGTTCTGAGTATTGAGGGTCTGTAATCAGAGTATCCATATTTTTCTTTCCCATATCTTCCTCCTTCTGTCCTTGCTAAGAACATCCATGAACGCCAAGGAGGCTCCCTGAAGAAGCGTCAGGGGTGAATTCTTAGGAAGTATATCTATCTTTTCTCCACAGCTCAATACAGAATAATGCAAACAATGCAACACACTGCTCTGGAGTTGGATTGGGCTCATAGCGACCCCTCCTTGGGTTTCCGAGGTGGTATCACTACGGAAGTAGATTGCCCAACCATCCTTCCAAGGAATGGCTGGTAGGTTTGAACCTCCAGCCTTCTGGTTAGCAGTCACATGCCTTAGACACTACGCCAGAGTGGATACTTTTGAAAAAAGTGTAAGTCATTTCACTAGGGGTTGTAGAAGAAATGAGTTTGGAACTATTCCTACTTCTCCTGTTTCCTGGTGGGGTATGTAAGAGAAAATACCAGGGTTTTCAACTCTGGTGCCACATCTGTATAGTAGGAAAAGTGCTGGATTGTGAATCAGGAAAACTGGAATCCACTCCAACTTTGTAAGCGGCAGATTGTGATATTGAGCAAATTACTTCTCCTTTCTGGTTCTCAGTTTCTCTTTTACAAAGTGAGGTGAGTTGTTTTGATAAAGTGTATTATGGATTGAATTGTGTTTTCCAAAAATATGTGTTGGAAATCCTAGCAAATAGGTGATTTTTAAAACTAAGGTGAATCTGACCCAAGTCATGATATTTTCAATAGTTTCATATGCATGTGAGAGCTTGGCAATGAATAAGGAAGACTACAGAAAAATTGATACATTTGAATTATGATGTTGTTGACGATTACTGAATGTACCATGGACTGCTAGAAGAGTGAACAAATCTGTCTTGAAGGAAGTATAGTCAGAATGCTCCTGAGAAGCAAGAATGTACTTTGGTCATGTTGTCAGAAGTGACTAAACACTGGAAAAGGTGAAGTAGAGGGTCAGTGAAAAAGGGAGAGACCCTCAATGAGATGGATTGACAAAGCAGCAGCAATGATGGGCCCAAGCATAGCAATGATTGTGCAGATGGCCCAGTACTGGGTAATGTTTTGTTCAGTTATACACAGGATCGCTACTAGTTGACAACCTAATAAAAATGCCATTTGGGACTGGGCTGCCTTTGTTATGTTAAAGAAGAAGGATTATTGTACAGTGTATCTTGACTCAATCACTTTTGAGATATAAAATAGATTAAATTCACGCTAGAAACAGAGATGGGGGAAGAAAGATGCCAAGCTTCATGAAGGTCTCCCAGGAGCAGAATTCAAGAAGCAAAGATTTTCTTCCAGAGCCAACAGAGAGCGATAACCTTCCCCTAGAGTTAGCAATTTGGACTTCTAGCTTCTTAAACTGTGAGAAAATAAATTTCTCTTTGTCAAAGCCAACCACTTCTGGTATTCTGTTACAACAAAATTTGGTACTGGAAGAGTGGGGTGCTACTCAAACTGATATCTAAAATGTAGAAGCAGTTGTTGAATTGGGTAATAGATGGGGGCTGGATGAGTTTTAAAGTGCCTAGTAGTAAAAACCTAGATTACCTTAAAGATAAAGTTGGTAGAACTATGGACATTAAACACAATTCTGGAAAGGATCAGAAGGAAATTAGAGCTATACAGGAAGTCTCTATTGTCATAGATAGTATATATGACACCAGCAACAGAATATTGCTAGAAATGTGGATGTTAAATGTGCTTCTTGTTAGGCTTTAACTGAAAATGATGAACATGTGATTGGACAATGAAAGAAAGATGATACCTTTTATACAGTGGGAAATAACTTGTCTGTATTATGTTCAAATATTTGTTGGAAGGTAGGACTTGGATATCTAGCTGATGAGATTTCTAAGCAAGATCTTAAAAGGGCCACATGGTTTCTCCTTGCTGCTCATAGTAAAATGTAAGAGGAAAAAAAATGAATTTAAAAATGAACTTTGCAAAATGACAATAGAACTTAAAGATTTGGAAAATTCTGTTGTACAAGCTAAGGACACATGTCCTAGAATGTTCTTCAAGAATATGGCTACACGATCTTTTGTTAAAGAGATCAAGCCTGTGACTGATGGATCTAACCAATTTTCACAGCAGAAAACCCATCAGGTGATATTAAAGGGGACAGAGAAAGAATGAAAAGAAAGAAAGATGCCCACCCCTTGGGATTCTACAGGCAGGAAATATTGTTGTTATGTGCTGTCGAGTCAGACCCGACTCATAGTGACCCCTCCTTGGGTTTCCGCGGCAGTATCACTATGGAAGTAGATTGCCCCATCTTCTTTCCGAGGAGTGGCTGGTGGGTTTGAACTGCCAGCCTTCTGGTTAGCAGTCAAGTATAATTTAGGGGGGAAAAAAAAAACCTGTTACATATGGCAAAGGGCTAATTTATCCAATATGCTAATTAACAAAAGCAACTACATCTGTTGTCTTCCAAGAAATGAAAAGGATCACATTTAGAGCAGCATGGAGATCAGCACAACTGTTGAAAGGAGCACAGGATGTAGAGCCTTCTTGATTTCAGAAGATTGGGACCATAGTCTCCTGGATTTCAAAGAGGTGGAACCACAAGCTCTTAGGTTTCAAAGAGTTGGATCTTCACCAACTCTGTTCCAGAGGGTGGAAATGCCATTTAGGTGTACTGGGGTGATGGGGCCACAACTCAAAACTGAGGGGTTGAGGATGTCATGATGAAGGGGCAGAGGAACAGGGCCTGATAGGGTTAAGGAGGTGTGGTCTTCACTCAAATGGGCTAGCAGAATGGGGATCTCCAAAGCTGAAGGAGCAGAGTTACTGTCTCAGTGAACCTGAAAGGCAGAGCTGAAGCCCAGGCTGAGGGGCCTCCACTTGGAATCCAGAGTGTGGCCAACACTTAAGAGTCTGGAGGGCAGGATCATTGCCTTGGTGGTCTCAGAGAACAAAAAATTATTTTCAGGTCTTGAGAAGAAAAGTAATGTGTTGTGTTGGATTTTGGACTTGTCTGGTAACTGTTATCCCATCTTTTTTTTGTCATTTTCTCCAATTTGTAGTGAAAACATCTACTGGTGCCTGTTCTACCATTATACTTTGGAAACAGACAACTTGTAGACTAGGTTTCACAGGTTCACAGACAAAAAGGAATTTTTCCCAGGATGGAATATGCCTAAAGTCTCCTTCATATTTGATTTAGAGATTCAGAAGATATAGAGATTTTGGACTTGGAGTTTATTTAAAATTTTTGGGATGATGTGACAGGGTGAATGGATTTTCCATGTGTCATTGACATAAATTTTGGGGGGCCAAAGGATGGAATATTATGATTTAATTGTGTCCTCCCTAAACATATGTTGTAAATCTTAACCTCTATGCCCATGGCCATAATCTCATTTGAGAATGGCTTATCTTTGTTATGCTAATGAGTATTAGTATAGGGTGTATCTTGAGTCAATCATTTTCAAGGTACAAAAGATTAAATGCAATCTAGGAGCAGAAACAGAAGAGAGATGCCAAGCTACATAATAATCTCCCAGGAGCAGAAGCTCAAAGAAAAAAACCTTCCACAGCCAATAGAGAGAGAAAACTTTCACCTAGACGTGGCACCCTGAATTTGGACTTCTAGCCTCCTAAATTGTGAGAAAACAAATTTTTGTTTGTTAAAGCTAACCTGTTGTGGTATGCCTGTTATAGCAGCAATAGATAACTAAGACAATGTATAAGATCCTTTCAGGCTTATGTGTTTAATACCATCGCTCTTGGAAAATTTCTCAAGTGTGAAACAAGCCTGAAGTAGTTAATACTCTGTCTTTACCTCCTGTGTCTAGGAATGATGGATCATGCCAACCACACTTGGACCCCAAATTTCAGTCTTATTGGCTTCAATATCATTGGAAATCTGCGACCTCTTGCTTTCTTGGGGACCCTGGGCCTCTATCTTCTCACCCTGGCAGGGAACCTGTTCATCATTGTCCTGGTTCAAGCAGAATCTGGACTATCCACACCCATGTACTTCTTCATCCAAAGCCTCTCCTTCTTGGAACTCTGGTACGTCAGCACCACGGTGCCCACACTGCTGCATACCTTTCTCCATGGATGTTCACCCATTTCACCTGCTTCATGCTTCATCCAGCTGTATGTCTTCCACTCCTTGGGCATTACTGAGTGTTACCTTCTGGTTGTCATGGCATTGGACCGCTACCTTGCCATATGTCACCCACTCCACTACCATGCACTCATGAGTAGACAGGTACAGTTATGGCTAGCAGGGGCCCCTTGGGTGGCTGGCTTCTCAGCAGCAGTTGTGCCAGCCAGCCTCACAGCCACTCTTCCCTTCTGCTTGAAGGAGGTGGACCATTACTTTTGTGACTTGGCACCACTAATGCAGTTGGCATGTGTGGACACAGGTTGGCATGCTCAGGTCCATATTGCAGTGATTGGACTGATCAATGTATGCAACCTTGCATGCATTTTGGGACTTTATGGAGGCATCCTGAGAGCTGTGTTAAAGCTACCCTCAGCTGCCAGTCGTGCCAAGGCTTTCTCTACCTGCTCCTCTCATATGACTGTAGTGATACTTTTCTTTGGCTCTGCCTTCATTGTCTATGTAGGGGTACCTGGGATCCAGGCTGAGGGCATAGACAAGTTTATTGCTTTGGTATATGCTCTTTTTACTCCCTTTTTCAATCCCATTATTTATACCCTTCGTAACAAGGAGGTGAAAGAGGCTGTGAGGAGAGTCACTCAGAGGATTAGGACTGTGTTAAAGGGATCTTGAGGATCTGTAGGGTTAGAGACCAATCACTTAGTAACAGAAAATATCAATTCTTTAGTCAATCAACTCATCAAAGAGAATATAAGAAACCATTCATTGAATAGTTTTTCAAACATACTGTATATGCCAACTAAATGATCAAAGCATTGGATTTGGACAAACTGAGTAACGCAGAAGGAGAAGAAATACTATCTCAGACCTCATACATGTTTAAAATGTAAGAAAGGACATATAAATTAAATATATTAATAATAAAAAAGAGTGTGAGTAAAAAATTTTATGTCGACTTAGAACTCAAAGAAAGAAAGAACTACCTTGAGAGAATTGGGGAAAAGAGAAGAAAATATAAAGGAGGGCTATAGTCAAAGATAGGGTACCTATAGTAAGACTGAGAAGAGAATAAATGAAGTTGGCAAGAAAAAAGAAAAAGATTGCTTGAGTTAATATTCATACATGAATTGGTGATCAATAGGAGATGACTCATAAATGTAGAGTTGAGTCTTCCTGGGTAATCCTGAAATAAAATAATGTTTAAAGTGGGAATTGAGAATTTATTTTCTAATGGGAAAGAGCAAGAGATCGGTGATGAGGATATTGGGTGTGTTGATGGTGTAAAGGAGTTATAGAAATATATCTTGACATTTGAATTTGAAACAATTTACTCATCCAAGACGCACCATTGATGGAATCCCTTGAATGCAAAACTAGTTCTGGGAACCAAGTGGAAACATTAAAATGAGAAATAATTTTTCAAATTATTGAATTTCTCAAAAGAGTTTACAGTTTTGTTTTGAGGAGTCTTCTCTCTCTCTCTCTTTCTTTCTCACACACACACACACACACACATACACACACACATACTCATCAGCACCAGCAGGTCATATTCACTAACACCAAGAAATAGACTTTTTCATTTTAATGTATGTGCATCTGCAGTGGTGTGAGGTCATGAAAAGTGGTGAAAGGAGTGCATAGATGGGCAGGAAAGATATGGGAAAGACAAGAGTAAGTCTCACAGAAGTTTATTCTGACATTTTCCCTAAGCCTCAGACTTTGGAATCCTAATAACCTTGGTACCCAGTTTCTACTTCTCTACAGATTCTCATCAAACCAGGAACATTCCCAAGGACATTCCTTGTCTCAAGTGCAGGTGGCCACAGGTCTACTGAAAATAAAAAAGGAAAACTCATTTTAATTTATTATTATAGTGTTTTTGTTGTTAGTATAGTTTTGTTGTTGTTAGGTGCCATCCAGTTGGCTCCAACTCATAATGACCTTATGTACAACAGAAAAAAACACTCCCTAGTCCTGCCCTAGCCTCACAATTCTTGCTCTCCCTGAGCCCATCATTGCAGTCACGGTATCAATCCATCTCAGTGAGGGTCTTCCTCTTTTTCGCTGACCCTTCACTTCACCAAGCATGATATCCTTCTCCAAGGAATGGTCTCTTAATACTGGGAGGAAAATGTGTGTAGGATGAAACACAGCATCTACCTCTTTTCCAACTAAGTTGTCCTCACTATGTTTAAACATCTTGCTTTGTTTAAACAAAAAAATCAAACCAAGCTCAGTGCCGTCAAGTTGTTTCCGATTCATAGCAACCCCTCCTTGGGTTTCTGAGGTGGTAACTGTACGGAAGTAGATGGCCTAATCTTCCTTTTGAGGAGTGGCTGGTGGGTTTGAACTGCTAGCCTTCTGGTTAGCATCAAATGCCTTAGGCACTACACGACCAGAGCTCCCATCATCTTGACTAGGATGAGAAAATGTTCTGAAATCCCAAAGGTTTATCCATTTTATGAATGGTTTGTCCATTAGGATGTTTTTCTAAGACAATGTAGCCGTAGGTACATTTTCTGTGATCATCTAATATTGTTTAGGCCTATAAGTCCTAGTAAAGGTAAATCCATTTTAATATTACTAAACCATGAAGATTAATCCTTCAGGGAGAAATAACAACATTAGAAGGAACCCAAACATTGTATCTTTCCTTTTCTAAGCCAAACTGTTTTTTTTTTTTTTTTTTTTGTGGTGAGAAATGGCTAAGGGGGTGGGCTATAATGGTAAGACAATTAGACTAGGTTTAAGTCTCAGGTTAAACCAACACATAATTTTTGAAGACTTATTTTGAGTAAACGCCATTTGCAACTAAGTGAATGCCACCAGAACATCACTGAATCATTGCACTTCTGAGTTCGGTGGGGCCTGAAAAGTCATCTGATTGAAACCCCACTCTCTTACTAAGGTCATGAGCTGGGAAATGACTTAACCAAGTTTACAGACCAAATTAGAAGAAGGCTGGAAATAAAATAACACCTTGGTTTTCTAACTTCTAACCTGATCCTTTCTACTATACCATTTGACTCTAAATTTCATTGTTTACCTAAAGCAAAAAGCCTATAGCATTTTTTATTAATCTTCCCCCCCTCCCTCCCCCAGCATCATCCTACATAAATGAGTGGGGACCTGCATTCAGTGAGGCATAGACTTTCTTGGTTGGCCTATTTTTCCACAGAGTAACTGTCATAACTCTAGAGAACATGGCCTGCCAAGGGTTTTTACAAAGCTGCCCTGGCCAACCTTTCTGCTCTAGGGCTCTTGCAATCTTGTAGCTGTCTGCTTTTCTACTTTCATTTTTCAGAAGTAGGAAGGCTCCATACATCACAGAACCATTCCATGATCCTTTATGTAAACATACCATTTTACAGTGAAATATTTTGTGTACATTTTCTCATCAAATCTCCCATGGCTAAACAATGGGCAATTGTCTTTCCAGAATCAGTTATTAGGTAAAGAATCTGAACTCAAGCCATATATATATATAAATATTTTAAAACCTACTAGGCAAGAGAAAAGAAGGACAGCATTTTGAAAACCAAAGATGACCTGATAGTCTTGCTGACTGAGTTGTCATCCTCATTACCATTCCTGTCAATGGGAGATTTTTCACCGTCTGTGTGAACCCAGGAATCAGGCCACATAATGACCATATAAGCTTGCATTTAAATTGTTTTTCATGAAAATGACTGTTCACTTCAATGTGGGCTAGAAAGAGAAAATTCTTTTAAACATGATTTATATGAACCAA